TCGTAAATCAAACATCGTAAATCATAAATCAAACATCGTAAATCGTAAATCAAACATCGTAAATCGTAAATCAAACATCGTAAATCGTAAATCAAACATCGTAAATCAAAAATCAAAAATCGTAAATCAAAAATCGTAAATCAAACATCGTAAATCAAAAATCAAACGCATGGCAGCAGAAATGTCTTTTTTGGATCATTTAGGGGTTTTACGGAAACATCTTTTTAGAATTATAGTAGCAATCGCTATTGGAGCATTACTTATTGGATTTAATTTGGAATTTGTAGTAGATACCATTCTTTTCGCTCCTTCTAAACCCGATTTTATAACTTTTCGTTTTTTAAACCAACTTTCCGAGTGGATGGGAACGGATACGCATATTTCTATGCCTGAAAAATTCCCGATTCAAGTACGGAAAATGTTTGAACAAATTAACGTAGCCATGTCCGTCTCTCTCATAGGAGGGGTAGTAGTGGCTTTTCCTTATATTGTTTATGAATTATGGAAATTTATTGAACCGGCTCTCACTTCCAAAGAAAAGAAAAAATCGCTCTTTTTTATATTTAGCATCAGTTTTTTCTTTCTTTTAGGAATTTCGGTGGGGTATTTTTTAATCACTCCTTTATCTATCCATTTCGGATATTTTTTTAAGATTTCCGACCAGCCCATTACTTTAATTGATTTATCGGACTATATAGACCTTGTAGTAAATACCTGTGTAGCGATGGGAGTGGTATTTTTGTTCCCCGTTGTGGCTTACTTTTTAACTTCCATCGGAATTTTAACTCCCGAGTTTTTAGCTACTTATAGGAAACACGCCATTGTGGCTATTATGATTGTTGCTGCTATTATTACCCCTCCGGATGCAACCTCTATGGTCATTGCCTCCATTCCTCTTATTGGGTTATATGAGTTAAGTATTTTAATTTCTAAAATTATCTATAAAAAGAATCAAGAGGTGGAGCGTTTTCAGTAAAGTTTAATAGTTTCTACTTTTGTTTATTAATACTCAAAAAAATGTATTCAAAAAAAATCGCCGTACAACTCCTTTCTGAATTATTGGTGCAATTTGGTGTAAAAGAGGTACTTATTTCGCCCGGTTCACGAAATGCTCCCCTTTCTATCCAGTTTTCCAATCATCCCAAATTTACCGTTTATACGATAGTCGATGAACGCTCTGCCGGATTTGTAGGAGTAGGAATGAGCCAAGTAACTAAAAAACCTACTGTTTTGTGTTGCACCAGCGGCTCGGCAGCGGTAAATTATTACCCGGCGATTGTAGAGGCTTTTTACCAAAATGTCCCTTTACTTGTTCTTACGGCAGACCGCCCGAAAGAATATGTAGATTCTTTTGACGGACAAACCATTCGCCAAAAAGAAGTTTTTGAAAAACATTCCTACGGAAATTTTGAACTCTCGGAAGAAGAATCCGATGCAGCTAATCTGGAAAATTATTTAACGATAAAAAAAGCCCTTACGTGTGCTATAGAAAACTCCGGACCGGTACATATCAACATCCCTTTTTCCGAACCTTTGTACGAAACCACCGATGAAATTCAAGTACAAATTGATGAATTTAAGTTCCCACCTAAAAAAGAAGAAGAAATTTCCATGGAAAAACTACTTCCCATCGCCAATCAATCTAAAAAAATTATGGTGGTAGTAGGGATGCAAGAAGTCAATCCTGCTTTGAAACAAGAACTTATCCAATTCGCTCAAAACCAAAATGTTACGGTTTTAACGGAATCCATCTCCAACCTTAATCATCCCGATTTTCTTCCCTCCATCGACCCGCTGATTTTTAACTTTAAAGAAGACCGAAATGAAGCCTTTGCTCCCGATTTACTCCTTACCTTAGGACAAAATACCGTTTCAAAAAAGATAAAAAGTTTTTTACGAAATTCAAAACCGAAAAATCATTGGCACATAGATCCTTTTTGGCAACCCGACACCTACTTTTGTCTGACTGAAAAAATAAAAACCACTCCGGAACGATTTTTATCGCAATTAAATGCCTCTTTTTCACCCTCTCCTTCTGATTATAAAGAAAAATGGCAGACTTTACAACATAAAAAAGAAGAAATTCATCAAAATTTTATGGAAAATCTTCCTTTTTCCGATTTAAAAATTTTTTCAATTTTAGAAGAAATGCTTCCCGATGATATAACTATTCATTTTGCTAATAGCACCCCCATTCGTTACGCTCAATTATTTGATTTTACTCGAGGAAATAAAAAAGTTTATTCCAATCGTGGAGCGAGCGGAATAGATGGAAGTACCTCTACCTCAGTAGGATATGCAATGATTTCGGATACTCCAACACTTCTTATTACCGGTGATTTGAGTTTTT